AGCAGGGCTGGGGCCCATGTCAGGGAAAGGAGGCAATGGGTGAACAAGCAAGGCCATAGTGCAGTGGTTCCCAAATGTTGGTCTTCCAGAAGTTTTGGACTTTAACCTCCAGAAACTTGAGTCACCTTGACCAACAGTCAGGAATTCTGGGAGCTGACATCCCAAACACCCAGAGGACCAGAGCTTGGGAATCACCATAGTGCCAGTGAGGGGAAGGAAGGGAACTAGAGGGGCAGGTGGGAGGTGTCAGAAGAAGCCACAGGTGAAATGGAAGACCTCTGATGACAGAGGCAGTGGCTGGAAACAGAGACCCAGAGATAATCAGCCTACGGTTGCCTGAGCTGCTCAGACAAGAAGGAACATCAACATCAACTTGACATCAACATCAACATCAACTTGAGCCATGGACCGGCAACTGTGCCTCCACCTCCATGGCTCAAGTGAGCAGCTCTCTTGATTCTCCACCTAGTTCTTTGGCCTTGAGAGCAGCTCCCAAACTACTCCTGTCTGGCCTGGATGTGACCACCTAGGCCACATAACATAGAAGAGGGGAATCTCTGGTGAGCTTATAGCACCTTAAAACAGGGTTATGTCACTTTAACAGCTCTGACTGCCTCCTGATACATTTTGGAGTTTGTAGTTCAGTGAAGTTTCAAGACTCTCTGGCTGAATATTCTAAATGCCCCTTCCTAAACTACAAGTTCCAGAATGCAACAGGAGGCAGCCAGAGCAGTTAAAACGACCTAGACCCGTTTTAAGAGTGTAGAGTGATAGTCTCCTGGGTATGAGCCAAAAAGTGACATTATGCAGGTGGTGAGGAAGGGTGCTGGTTGTGGATGGCAGTGACTCTGTGTTCCCTCCGAGCCACAAAGATGCAAGGGGCTGTGAGGGAAAACTTCTAAGGCCTCCAAAAAAGTTCCATTGGAGACCAAATCCACTCTTGGTGGCCCTGCAAAGGATGTAAACAATAAGGGATATAATAATAATAATAATAATAATAATAATAATAATAATAATTTATTTATACCCCGCCCCTCTAAGAGCAATTGGGGAAGCTATCCAGGGCGGATATGGGGATCTTGGAGCATTTCAAGTGTGTAAGATATCCCAGCAGTGATCAGGCTCCAATCACATGGATGGTAATTTACAGAAATTAAGTATGCATAACATTCAAATTAACTGCAACACCTCCATATTACAATATTCTATGAAGATAGTTTATCATTCTGTACTAACAATCCCATGAAAATCATGGGATCTCAATTAGTCAATAGGCAACTTGAAGGCTCATGCACAGATACTGGTTGCTCCCACCCTGCATTCTACAGGCCCTGAAGAGCTGATTTGTTCATCCATCATAAAGTACCTGTAGCATAATCATGATGTACATTTAATTTATTTACTTTATTTCATTTCTATGCTGCCTTTCTCTTAAAAAGCAACCCAAGGCAGCTCACAGATAAAATCATTTATAAGATTTTAGAATAAAAATTTAAAAACAATTAAAATCTGCTAGCTAAAAACAGCATAAAATGAAACATCAGAAAGAAACTCTTCTAGAACATGGCCACACAGCCCGAAAAACCCACAAAAAACTATGGATGCCGGCCATGAAAGCCCACGACTTCACATTAGCATAAAATGACAACGAAAGATACAGAAGTTTTTAAAAAAACTCTTTTTTGAGGCATTCCTATTATTCCATTCTCTGCTATAAAACTTCTGCAGTACCTTCCAGCTGTGATACCTAATGGCCCTCTTAAAAAGCTTTTAGATTAGGACAGAAAGATCTATTCTTTTAATTAAGATAAAAACGGAAATTGATATAATTAATTCATTAAGCTTCACAACCCCCCAGTGAGATGGAATGCATCATGATCTGATTTTGATGGTTCCACCTCAAAAACACAAAGCATTATTTGTAGCAGAGTTAAGTAGAAAGACCCAAATCTGTTGATTCACAACTCTGTACTTAATCTACACAATAAACATCTTTGTTCATTTCTCCCTCTTGCATTTCTCTGAGCCTAGGAACACTGGCAAACAACTGGGTGCTGGTTGTTCCATAGAACAAAGAGAAACCCTGATGATGCAATCCTAAAGGTTTTTCAGTGTCCATAAGGCACAGGGAGCTGCTTCCCAAAGTTCAGAAATGGGACTTTTTTGCACCACAACTCCAAACAGGTAGAAGCTTCTGGATGATGTAGTCATTCTCTCTTTCTCTCTCTCTTTCTCTTTCTCTCTCTCTCCAAACATCCCATATAGTCCAAGCATCCCAGTTACATACATACATACATACATGAAAACATGGTGTCATGGTTTGAGCACTGGGCTATGACTCTAGAGATCAGGGTTTGATTCCTCACTTGACCATGGAAACCCATTGGTTGACCTTGAGCAAGTCACACATTCTCAGCCATGTTAAGTTCTCCTTAGAATCACAGAATCGTTTAGTTGAAAGAGACCATCCAATCCAACCCTCTGCCATGCAGGAATACACAAAGCACCCCAAACGGATGGCCATCCAGCCTCTGTTTTAAAAACCCCACAGGAGACTCCACTACTCTCCAAGGGACTGTGTTCCACTGTCAAACAGCTTTTACTGTCAGGAAGTTCTTCCTAATGTTTAGGTGGAATCTCTTTTCCTGTAGCTTGCATCCATTGCTCCAGCTCCTATTCTCTGGAACAACAGAAAACAAGCTTGCTCCATCCTCAATATGACATCCCTCCAAATATTTAAGCAGGGCTATCATATCACCCCTTAACTTTCTCTTATCCAGGCTAAACATACCCAGCTCCCTAAGCTACTCCCAGTAGGGCATGGTTTCTAGGCCTTTCACCATTTTGGTTTCCTTCTCTTGCTTCAGCTTGTCAACATCCTTTTTGAATTATGGTGTTCAGAAATGGACACAATATTCCAGGTGAGGCCTGGCCAAAGCAGAATAGAGTGGTTCTATTACTTCCTTCTATCTAGACATTATACTGTTAACGCAGCCTAGAACTGCATTGGCTTTCTTCGCTGCTGCATCACATTGTTGACTCATGTTCAATCTGTGGTCCACTAAGGGCTGATGCAGACTGGCACTTTAAGCCAGCCTGGAGGTGGAGTTGGGGCAGGGTGACAGCACGCTGGCCACCCTGACTCTGCCCTGACTCTGCTCCGATGCCCCGTTGGGGCAGCGTGCACAAAAAAGGGTAGCTTTTTGTCACCCTAAAGAGGAATGGCATTTGGCCACTCTTTTTGGGGTGGCAAAAAGGAGGATTGAGGCTGCAATGTGTGGTTGCCATGGCCCCTATCTGCTGCTTCCAGGGGTGGCACAGAGCCACCCCTTACGGACCGTCTGCATTGGCCTTAAGACTCCTAGATCCCCTTCATGTGTACTGCTGTCAAGGCAGGTGTCACCCATTCTATATATGTGCATTACATTTTTACTTTCACCACAAGTCAGAATTTTCCAAGAATACTTATATTTACATCCAAAGAGCAGGTTGGGGTAGAGGGAAGGAACAGGTAGAAACAAATTAAATTAATGGTATGAGAATGGCATAGGCACATCAGGCTACAAAGAGTTCAAAAATGGAAATGGATTGTGTTGGTTGTGCCCAGTACTAATGCGTTTCTGGAAAGAACTGTATAAAGAGATGGTAAAAATCATAACTCAAGATATTGAATTTTCATCAGAACTAGAATTATTTATAATGTATAATGGTAATAACCCAGCCTTGTGTCATAAACTCCTGACTTGTTTCATGAGTTTGTCAGCTCAGGTGGTAATTTTGCTAAAGATTGGAAGAGTGTATTGGGGTTTTCAGCAGTAGAGTAGAAAATAAATAATTCAATTTTTGGCATTTATACAAGAATAACCAAGTAACAAGTGTCAGGACAATGCAGCTTTTTCTTTTTTAAAAGCAGCATGGCTTCCCTATATTTCCTATGACAATACGAACAAAAAGACATTTGCTCCTCCAACTACCGGTACTCATATAGGTTTATGGAATGATGGATTGATGTATTATGCTCGGTCTTTCTTTGTACAGATTTGTGTAATTCAGCTGCATAGCTGATTTTGTTCTTCAGATGATTCAGATGATTGTGTTCATGTTTTCCGATAAAAATGATTGGACTAAAAAAGAGAGAAAAGTATGGAAAAGTATGTACTACCCACAAATGAACAATAAACAAAGACGGTATGTTAAAACTGTGGAAAACAATCCTTGACTTGTTCCCACTGAAACAAACTGATCACAGACAGAGCCTCTAGATTCTAACCTACTGACCTGGGGAAGTGCTGTTTGATGGCAACATCAGGATTTCATTGTGGTTCCCATCCCATTTCCCCCTGATTTCACAATTTCACTCTGAACGAGGCAAAAGAAGGTCAAGTCCGTTCCTTGCTGAAAGTCACAGATGGGTGATGAGTCATCCCGAAATCATTACTCAAGCTCTGCTGGCTTTGTAATCATATGCTGAAATGACGGGATTCTGTTTTTCTAGGAGGGAGGGATTGGCAGGTTTCATGTGGCTGCCCAGCCTCAGCAGTTTCAGGAGGCAGCTGTTTTTGCTACATGGTGGTATGGATCAAAAGGCACCTGGGAGAACTTTCTGTTGTGTGTTGACGGAGGAGGAATTGGGTAAATCTTATCCCAAGAGGCCTCCACAATGATGGAGAATCATATGGGATCCTGGAGAATCATGTCAAGCAATCTATTGCTGGGATTACCAGTTTAGGGAGGGGGCATTTAGGATACCCAGCCAGAGAGCTCTTCTAGTCCCGCACCAAACTATAAAGCCCAGGATTCCACAGGATGCAGCCACAGCAGTTTTAAGAGCATTGTTGTTGTTGTTGTTGTGCGCCTTCGAGTTGTTTCCAACTTATAGTGATCCTATGGCAAACCTATCATGGGGTTTTCTTGGCAAGTTTCTTCAGAGGCGGTTTGCCAGTGGTATCCTCTGAAGCTAAGAGAGTGTGGCTTGTACAAGCTCACCTAGTGGATTAACATGGCTGAGCCGGGATTCGAACCCCGGTCTCTAGAGTCATAGCCCAATGCTCCAACCATTACACCATGCTGGCTCTCTATATAGTGGTATCATTGGGTAGTATGAAAAGGCCCTTTAGCAGCTGAAAGTGAGAGGTGTGTATTTAACTTAGGGTATGACCTAAATATCCTAAAAGGTACCAGATCCCATCTGATCCTGGAAACTAAGGGGCCAGCCCTGGTTAGTACTTGGATGGGAAACTGCCAACAAACGCCAGGTACTGTAAGCTATATTTCAGAGGAAGAACTGACAAAAACCACCTTTGAGTATTCCTTGCCTAACAAACCCCCATGAAATTCATGAGGTCACCATTGGTGAGCAGGCAACCTGTACGCACACGCACACACACACACAATATCCTTAATAGGACTATGCAAAAGAATTCCAAATCCCAAACCAAATCTCATTCATTCAAATCATGCAAAGTGAACTGGGGTCTCTCCTGACATTTCTGAGTGATTTGGAGATTCCAAGGCAAATTAACAAACCTGTCTGTAAAAATAGCAACATTCCACCCCAAGCTTTTCACCTTAGGAAGCAACAACAACAACGTTTATTTACAATGCCCTTTCCACCAAAGGGTGGAACAACAAACATATATAATAAAAAACAGATGAAAAAACACAAACAATAAAAATACTAAAATAATAAGCTAATATACTAAATAACAACAACAACACACCAGATAACATACCAGAGTAGGGAGAAATGGAGGGGGGGGGCTACTTTGTGATTGACAGATCTAGCTTCTATCCAGACATAATTATTTTGCTATGACTTATTTTGCTATGATCATAGTGCTTTGGCCTTGTTTCTAGTCTGCTTCATGCTTTTTGCTAGTTCTCAATTGGGGGTCCATTCACACAATGAATAGTGCTATGATTCCAACTGTGGCTGCATCCTGCAGAATCCTTGGTTTTGTAATTTGGTGAGGCACTGGATCTCTCTGATTGAAAATTCTAAGTATCCTTACCTGAACTGTAAATCCCAGGATTCCATAGGATGTAACCAGGGCAGTTAAAGTGGAATCATAATGCTAAAATTGTGTATTATGAAGACACCAGGAAAGAGTTGTGAACATGGTTAGGGTTTGTTTGGCTTGTGATTCTCACAAATATCTATCATATCTTTTTCTAAATCAGCTTCCTTCCTTATTTCAAGCAATCTTTTCTTTTTCAATTTAGTCCTACCACAAAATCCTTATCCTTTCCAACAAGTCAGGTCTTACACATTTGCCTCATTCTTGCTGTTATTTGCTGAGTCTTTATTGAGTGCTAATTGTCATCTGTTGGAAATTCACTGGATAACTTTTGGCAAGTCACATTCTTTCAGACTCAGAAATCATGCCAAGAAAATCCCGATAGGGGTCTCCATAACTTAGAAATAACTTGAAGGTATACAACAACAACAACAAAGCAGTTACATATATAGAGGTAGTGTCATTTCCTGCATGGCAGGGGGTTGGACTGGATGGCCCTTGTGGTCTCTTCCAACTCTATGATTCTATGATTCCCCTCCCTACACTTTTGCCCCTAATTTTAGATTTCTGGTTCAGTGTTTTCTGTTCTGACAGGTATGTGTCCATGGTCTCTGATGTGTGCAGAACCTTCTGTGCTACCTGATTATGTGCTCTTTGTTGCTTATGTGCATTTGTGTGTACATGTGTGAAAATGTGAACCATACATCTTTGTTTTTTTTACACACATGCACATAGAGATGTAGATGCACACACAGACACACATGCCTTTTGGTTTATAGTGTTGAAAAGCACTATTATTAAATATATATTAAGTGGCCCACACTGTACTTAATGTATCATATCTACTTGCATCTATTCTGAAATTTTTTATGTGCATGTACCTTCAAGTCATCTGTTGACTTATGGCAACCCCATGAAATTCATAGTTTTCCCAGGCAAGGAACACTCAGAAATGTTTTTGTCAGTTGCTTTCTCTAAAATGTAGCCTACAGCACCTGGTATTCATTGGCAGTCTTCCACCCAAGTACAAACCAGGGCTAAGATCAGACAGGATCTGGTGCCTTTAGGGCACTCATGTTAATTATTTAGGAGCACTTGCACAGTGAAAGCATATACAACTGCTCACAAATGCAGGGGTGGGATCAAATCTTCTATTTCCCCTCAAAATCTCCCTCAAATGCACACATCATGAGAAGGCATGAATCATTGGAAAAAACAAAGATGCTAGGAAAGGTGGAGTGAAGTAGAAAGAGAGGAAGGCTGCATGATAGATGGATGGACTATTAAAGAGATCATAAGTATGAGTTTGTAAGAGTTGGGCAGAACAATGGAGGACAGGGGTCTTGGAGATGTCTCATCAGCAGGGTCACCATGGTTCGAGATCTATGTGAAGGCAGTTAACAATAACAAAAACACAGTGTAGTATGATGATCTGAGTGTTAGATTAGGACTCTAGGAGATTAAAGTTTGAATCTCTGCCCAGGTAGAAACCCACTGGGTGACCTTGGATTAGTCACACTCTCTCAGCCTTAGCAGAAGGCAATAGCAAACTTTCTCTGAAGAAATATTGGGGGGAAGCAGACGGGCGGCCGTGGGCCACCCCAGGAAACTGTGCCGTGGGACTGAGGCATCCCCACGCCTCAGTCCCGCGGCGCAGCTTCGCCGCCCCTGAAAGGAGCGCTAAATCAGCGCTCCTTTCACAAGTCGACGAAAGTGCGCCGACTCTTCCGCCACAGCGCATCCAAATGTTGCGGTGGGAGGTCCTCCTCGGAGCACCAGCTGTGCGGAGGGCCGGCTGCTCCGAGGACAACCTGGGGAAGGGGTTGGGGTGCTGATCGTGTGGCTGCCCCTCCCCTTCCATGCCCCTAAGATGACCCTTTAAGCCGTCTGCTTAGGGGGATTGTCAAGAAAACCCTATTAGATGGTCAACATAAATAAGAGTTTCTTCCTAAAGAGAACCTTTGTGATCTATGCCATTGGCATACAAAATCTCTCCCCTCATTTTTTTCCATAGGGCTAGCAAATTATTTCTGAAAATCCACAACAGGCTGTTTGTTTGCATGAAAAAACAGCATACATTAAATTACATTTGAAATGTTGTATCCCATCAAAACCCATTTAACATGTTCCGCTGAGATCTACTGGGGGTTCAGCAGATGATGTTATCTGTCCATTGATGGTACAATTAAAAGGCATGGTACAATTCAAAGACAATTCAAAGATGGTACAATTCAAAGATATATATTAATCTGGGGAATCAGAATGCAAAGGGAACTTGTAGTACCTTTGAGACTAACTGAAAAAAAGAAGCTGGTAGCATGAGTTTTTGTAGACTTCAGTCTACTTCCTTGGAAGCATGGATCTGTTAATCTCAAAGGTGCTATCAGATCCCTTTGCACTCATCTGTTCATGTTTATTTACAAGCCTAGCTAGATGCTTCTCTGATCCCTTATGAACTCCACCAGCCATGGAATGGCCATTCAGTGGGGGCTTGGAAGAAAAACTATGGGTCAGAAGGAGGGGCTTTGGTCACTGTGGTGTGTGGAGAAGAGTACCAACTTCCACCATGACCAAAACAAAGCAAACAAGCAAAACCCATGCACATATGCAGGTGGAAGGTGGATGTATGCTTTTGTATGTCAGTAACAGGATGCAGGCTGATATTTCTAAGGTATGATAGCCTCAGTTTAGTCATATTAGCTTCTGGGAGAGTTAAAGTTTCATTTGTTCTCAGATCCATTTATTTGTCTCTTTAGTGATACAGTCAGCCCTCTGTGTCCTCGGATTTGTTATCCATGGGTTCAGCCTTCCAAGGCTTGAAAATATTTTTTAAATCTACAAGTTCCGAAAA